CCGCATCCTGTACAGCAATTAACCACTAAGAAGAATATATGCAGTGTATTATTTGTTGAAACTGTACTTCCGATTTGATTTGAAACTGTCTCACTGCTGTTTATCAATAAAACTTAGAAAAAATAAAATAAAAGTGTATTTTGCTCAATATACAAACCAAAAATGTCACATCAATCTACTTATAATAAACTGCCCAACCAATAAAAAAAGTATTTTTGTTGTTGTTTATAAGAAAAAGAATTCTTAAAAATAACATACAGTTCTAAAACACTTTTTTTTTTTTTTTAAATATATTTAGTACAGGGTCTCACTATACAGATCGGACTCATAGTGATCCTGTTTTCAGCCTCCCAAGTATGCCACCATATCCAGGCTCAGTTGCAGTCTCATCAGGCCCCAGAGGTGGGGCCAGCTCAGCATATGATCCTGGGGAGGAACCCCAGTCCCTGCGTCTGCCTAAGCAGGCACTTTAGTCCACTGAGCTATCTGGCTGGCCCTTAAAACACAAATTTTAAAGTCAGCAAGTAATATTTTTTGCCAGGACTATATAACAGAAAACCAGGCTCTTCATTTATCTGTGTTACAAAACATTACCATAAATTTTGAATGGTCTACCACTAATAGCTCTATTGTGAGTTTCTCACAACAGGAACAATGTTATTTTAACCATATTTGTATGACTGGAGCTAAGGTTCTTGAAAAGTACTGGTTGTACTGTCTAGGCTAAATTTACTCTATTTTGTGTTAACATTAAAGCAAAAGTTAAATTTCTATAGGGGCTGGTGACATGGCTCAGTGGTCTAAAGCACCTACTTAGAACAAGCTTAACAAAGCACAGGGACCACGGTTCAATCCCCCAGCACCACATGCCAGCCAGCCCCACCTCCTGGTGGGCTGAGCTGACCACACACACACACACACACACACACACAAATAAAACAAAATTTAAAAAAAAATTTCTATAGCACAGTGTGTTCTGAGCAATTGGAAAGGTACAGGGATAATAAAAATTAAAAAAAAAAGAGAAGGAAATCTGCTATTTTATTGAAAAACCACTACTTTACTTTTTTTTTAGTCCTAGATTCTTCCAGGTACCTAAACTGGCTAAGATATCTGTAGCACAAAATATCCAAAAGCCAGTATACTTTCTGCTTTATGAACTTTTTACTAGAAAATTTGTTCCCAATTGCCAGTGACAATTGTCACCTAGTAAATTAGCACCAGTATAAATAAAATACAGCCTTAGGTTAAGTTTCAGAAAACTCAATCCAAAAGTAGCAACTTTTAACCAGAAGCCATCAAATTTTTAAAAGAAGACATCTTTATACACCTAACTTTGTTTTCCCTCACATCATTTCAGTATTTCTAAAAATAAACCAATAAAAAAAGTAAAATAAACCAATATATCTCATGAAAATTACCTAATCTTCAACAGAAACAACACAGGTGTACTTTTATCCCTAATGAAAATATCTCCTTCAACTAGGCAAAAAAAATCTTATTTTCAAAAGCAGTCCAAGGCAAAACTTTGCAACTTCATTTATTAATCTGTTTCTTTTTTAGAGGGATGTGAGACTCAGCTATAGCTCTTACTGCTTATCCTAAAACAATAATACCAAGATAGTACTTCAAGACAAAGGCATACTCTTCAAGTCACTTTTTAACCTGATGTCTTTGTTTCCAACACATACCTCCAACTTTTTGTTACTGCTTTTTCTCAACTTCTCCTAATTTGGCCATCTCCAATTTTGTTCAAATTATTTTAAACCTCAAATGTACCAAGCTTATCTTAGTATATGCGTGTAGTATTTTGATTTCTCTTCCCTTTAAACTAGCTTAAAGACTAAAAGTGAAATTCCTAAAATGCTCATTAAATCCCTCAAACATTGCCACTAGTTTTCCATCACACTGCCTCATAGAATAATTCTTACCATCTGATACTTACAGGACAGACTGATTCTTCTTCTGTACACTTGTCAATAATTTAAAAAACATCAGTTTAACTGATCCTTTCAACAAGTATAAACTTTCTTCCATTCTCTTAAGCTGAAATCTAATTTATCGATCATTATGGATTCCTAAACCAAATTGTGAACACATCTATAGATTGGTAAGACTACAAAGTATATATGCTTTCAATAACCAAATAATCTGGTAATCCCTCAAAAAGACTCCGCTTAATGCTGGGTATGGTGGTACATGCATATGATCCTAGCACTTGGGAGACAGGCAGAAGGAGCACAGGCCTGGGTTACACACTGATTTCAAGGCCACCCTGAACAACATAACAAGACCCTCTCTCTCAAAAAAAGACTCCACTTAGGTTATTCAGTACTCATAAAGGGAAGAAAAAGTTGGTAGTGACCAAGTACTTTTACAGCTCAGAAGAAAGTGAATTCCCTTAACAAATATTTATTGGCTACTTTGTGCTAGCCAATGGAAACCAGGCATTGCATAAAATAAAAACAAAAACATCTCTATTTCATGGAATTTATGTGCTAGAGGAGTCAGAAAAGAAAATGAGCAAATCACTTTTAGAAGTATACAGTAAGTGCTCTGGAAGGGAAATAACAGAAAGAGTGTTTGACATGTAAAGCAGGGAAGTAATCTTAAATAAGATGGTCAGAGAAAGTCATATTAAGCATTTAATGAAAACCTGAGGGGACAGAGGAAACAAGTCATGTGCACATCTGAAGTTCAAAGTTTATAGATATAACAGTGAGGTATAGACTGTAAAGCTGTAGTATTTCCAGTACACTAATCCTAGAAACAAAGAAGCTACTATAGCTGGACGGAGTATCGGAGAGAACAAATCACAACAAATGAAGTCAAACTAGTTAAGACTATTTAAGGGATTTTGTAGGGCCTTGAACATTTCTGTATTTTAATGTAAAACAGAAATCTCTGAAAACTGGGAGCAGATGTTATCTGGCCCATGCTTTAAAGGAAAGGCACATGTAATAAAAAGTGGCTCACTCTCTGGCTTAAGCTTAAGAATCCCAAACATTTAGAGAATAAATGGTCTGCTACTTATAAACCTAGGGAAACAGGCAATAGTATATTCAGGCTCCTTTCCTCTGGTTTTGTCTGGATCAACAAAGCCAGCTTCAGTCTGTGGTTTTATTCTGTATATTTGGAACTCATTTAAAGTACACAAAAATATTTCTTCCAGAAGACTCCAGGCTTTTAATCTTTCAGTTCTTATATCTGAATGTTTTCATGCTCCCTCATTCTGTACTAAGGGTCCAGTTAGCAGATATGCTGCACTATGAAAAACGTCTAACTAACATAGTTTCTCATGATCTTCCTCTTTTCAA